TACTGATATTGTAATGTTAAGTTTGCTTATTTTTTTATTCAGAGAGACCAGCAGTATTTTATACAGAATGTGGGGTACTTTTTACAGGATTCGAGCCAATTGGTGACAAGTCAGTATTAAGTAGCTAATGACCCCAGGCTGTTGTAATAAGAAAATCTTGAAGAAAAAAAAAGGTCGGATGAAACACTAAGACAAACACCCGTGATTTATTTTGACTTATAAATCCGAGTAAGGTTGTTTTAATAAGATAAATATTCCTGGAGAATAGAGAAAAACGTTTAACTTTCTTTTTTTTTGTAAAGGGACGATACTATAAATTACCTTATTTCCCTATTTACTGGTATTTTAAATTTACTTTTTTTTTCTGTAATGGAAAATTCAATGTGAATAGGTATACTATATAATCAAACATCTTGACCACTGAAGTAGCATTAACCACAGTCTCGACTGTGTTACTTACACTTGCTATTGGAATAGACCGCTAATCCTCATGCAAAGCAACTCCAACTTTACGTAGTGGATTTTAGAGTCAGCGATGTATAATGTCTCACAAGCAACTTCTTACGTGAGAAACTCATTATCAGTTGGGCTGAGTTGTAAAAACATTATGATAATAATGAGCTTGTAAGAAATAGTTCACAGTTATAGTTGAGCAACATGACTAGTTTAAACCGTAAATAGAACCTAAATTCAAAGGAATTACAAAATAATTTTATGGACAATAAACATCTGTACGCTACAAATAATTAGTCAGAGGTATAAGATATATGAATGATTTTCAGTACAGAATAAATTGAGATACGACACTGACTCCATTTAAAAAATAAGTTTAAAAATTATATTCGTCTTCTATAGCAAAGTTTTTAATTCTCTTCTTCTAGAAATGTAATAAATTCCCTAAACCTAATCACCGCTACAATTTAGGGCAATGAACTATGTAGAAGGTTTTGCTGTTGTTTTTTTATAAATTCAAACAGAAATAACAACTTTGTTTGTTTGGAATTAAGCACAAAGCTACACAATGGGCTATCTGTGCTCTGCCCACCACGGGTATCGAAACCCGGTTTCTAGCGTTTTAAGTCCGCAGACATACCGCTGTGCCACTGGGGGCGTAATAACAAAAAAACCTTTTTCGATTCTTTTGTTACTGTCCATAGGTAAAGCTAAGTTTAAAACAAATTAATCACCAGGGCTAGGAGTGGCGGGCTGTTTCGTCAGTTGGAAGATTGGTATCCCATTATTATTTTTCTAGTGCCTGCTTAATAAATCGAAAAGGTTCACCAAAACCGCGTGATTACAGGCGTTACTTCTTGAGAAATGAAATATAGATAAACGCGAGACAACTATCATGTGAAAGACGTTACTGCTCTACAACTAATTAATAAATACTGGTAAGAACACGTAGCTCTATTCTTCTTAAGAACAGTTAATACGGGGTCACTAAACTATCAGGTTCTAGTCGATGCTGTCTGATAATTAAATAACATATAAGGAGAGTGTCAGTAAATGCACATATTTATTTTTGTCATACGATCTACGAAAAGAAAAAAAGTTAACTTTGGCACAATGAGCAATGTCAAAATCGCAGACATAAATCTTGGCCTGAACTTCCACGAGAGTGGGATGTAGTTTTAAAAGCCCCCCCCCTCTTCTTTATAACATTTAAACTACTCAGCCACTGGTTTTGTTACGAAGTTTATCAACAGTCATATGATTCCAGAAGTTTCGTTTTGGAACTTGGAGACCTGCCATGTATTAACAGGTGTTACAAATTTATGACCACAATATGACCTCTCCTGATTGCAAATATAAATTCGGTTTGCTTACAGTAAAATTTATAAACGCAAGTACATACACACACACACACAGACATGTATATATACATACACAAATGAATATATAAACTTACCCGGCATGGCCTGGTAGCTAGGGCGATCGAATCGCGATCTGTGGGTCGAAGGTTCGAATTTCCGTTGCCGAACATGCTCGCCTTTTCAGCCGTGAGGGCGTTATGACGTTACGGTCAATCCATTTTTCGTTTTTAAAAGAGTAACCCAAAAGTTGGTGGAAGTTGATGTTGACTGGCTTCCTTCCATCTAGTCTATCACTACTAAATTAGAGACAGCTACCAGAGAGGCGGTGGAAGACACCAGATACTGTATAATGCATTAGCATATAAGGTGCTCTAATGTTTGTAATCGGGCTCGGGACTAAAATACGTTTATATATATATTAACTAAGATTAAAAGACTAAAAATCGGCTTCAAAATTAATGACAAAGAATAAAATGTAAAAACTACAGTATTTTTCTCAAACTTTTACTGGTCTCTTAGCTTCAGTAGTTATACTCTTCGGTAAGTTTTTCTTCTCCAACAGAAACATTTTAAAGCACTTGTGATATTAGAATACACGCCAAAATTCTGGTAAGACAGCAAGCCTTCAGTGCTTTCACGGTGCTGTTACCACAGTTATCCTGCTGGGGTTTATATGCTTTACAGTAAATACGCTTTACAGTTTATACGCAAATGGTATACTTTATTTTGTTTTCTTTGTATCATACTGCACGATTTTAATTGATTATGTTTCACTGATTTTTAGTGTATTCGTGTGTGTGTGTGTTTGTAAATAGTAGTTTCTTTTGCTTGTCGCTTATCCTGCTTTGGTTCTTTATCTGTAATTGTGTTCATTTTATGTTTCCTCTAATGAATAAACAATAACATGAATATTTATAAGGTTTTGTTTTATTTCATCGACTGATTTTCATTCTCTGAAATGGGAACGTAAAATCAATCTCGATTTTTTATCCATATTTCACCCCCAACTATAATTCTGTATGAAGACCCCGCCCTAATATAAGCAAAAATTGCAGTTGTTTCTCAGACTATATATATATCACTAGTGTTGAATATTATGTAAGTGCAGTTGTTTCTCAGACTATATATGTATCACTAGTGCTGAATATTATATAAGTGCAGTTGTTTCTCAGACTATATATGTATCACTAGTGCTGAATATTATATAAGTGCAGTTGTTTCTCAGACTATATATGTATCACTAGTGCTGAATATTATGTAAGTGCAGATGTTTCTCAGACTATATATATATCACTAGTGTTGAATATTATGTAAGTGCAGCTGTTTCTCAGACTATATATGTATCACTAGTGCTGAATATTATGTAAGTGCAGTTGTTTCTCAGACTATATATATATATATATCACTAGTGTTCAATATTATGTATGTGCAGTTGTTTGTCAGACTACATATATATATATATCACTACTGTTGAATATAATGTAAATGCAGTTGTTTCTCAGACTATATATATGTATCACTAGTGTTGAATATTATATAAGTGCAGTTGTTTCTCGGATTATATAACACTACTGTTGGATATGACGTAACTACAGTTGTTTCTCAGACTATAGATATCATTACTGTTGGATATTATGTAAATACAGTTGTTTCTCATATTATATATCACAACTGCTGCTCAAGGAAAACTACTATGAAGATTGTGAAACATCGCCTTCGGTAACTGTTTTTTGTAGGCGTTTTTTAAACTTCAGTGACAATTTCTATAAAGTCTTTCTAATGAGTTTTGTGATCATTTTTGAAATTCAAGAAGACTTTTCTATGAAAAGTTTGGTGTGAGTTTTGTTGAAGCTCTTTTTACGGTAGACAGTTTCACTCAGACGTCATTAATATAAAACACATTCTGTTGTACGTTTTACTGAAAACAATATTTCTGAGAGCAAATCGTTAGAATTTCCCAGTCAGAAACTGTTACAGACATTTCAAAGACAAAAGTTACAATGAAGATTGATAAGATGTAGAGTTCCAATTATTTAAACCTTTAACATTACAATTATTTTGCCTTTTTCAGTATTTCTTTTAAAGTCCATGAAAAAATAAAAGATAAATCATTTTAGTAGATATCACTCATCATTTAAGTGTTAAAGTGACGCTTAGAAAATGTCAGTCTTGTGTGTTTGTTTTAGAATAAAGCCACATTGGACTATCTGCTGTGCCCACCGCGGGGACTCGACCCCAATTTTAGCGGTGTAAGTTCGTAGACTTACCGCTTTCCCACTGTCTTGCTTTTTCTAACAGAATGTTAAATGTTTTGTTTTTTAAGGTAAAGTGTTAAGTATCTCGTTTTTATAGCTGAATGTTAAATGTCTCGCCTTTTGAGTGTCTTTAGGAATTAAATATATAATAAAACAAGAGGGAATCCTTAATAGCCGCGGCACTTGAAATTCTTTTAGGCAGGATTAGAATAAATTACTATACGAGACCTTGAGCGTGATCTAATACATCAATCGAAAGTGTTTGCCCTTCTGAGTTCAAAACTGTAATCAGATCTCAAATCGGTCAAGAGATAACAAAGTTATGAGCTAAAACGTTTGTACTAAAAAAAACAACAGAAAAACAACTCAAAGCCATTCTATGAGCCGCTCAGCCGCTGCTAAAGAGATCATAGATGCTTGATACTTTACTGTGTCCGCTTATTTTTAAATCTCCAGCGAGGGAAACGGTAGGAACATTATGATGAGGCTTAGTAGTCACTTTGTCCAGTTGTACGGGAAGATTAAACATGGCACGTGGAAGTGTTAAGTAGATAAAACGAAAAAAACTACAACAAACAAACAAACCTGCCTATTATGGAAAGATATATATATATATCGTATACATATACATTTATTCAAATTTGACTTATTGTTTACTAAAATAGTTAGAGACATCACATCAAAGTTTATAAAACTACCACCCCAGCTGGTTTCAAGAGCTTGGCATCTTAGAATGCTGGTGTGTGGAAGAAACAGCGTTGGATAGAAGGCGGCTACGTCCTTATTTGGACCCCTTGTAACAGCATGAAAATCTAACTCTTAGAGGGTGGGCAAGTTCCCAGGCATTTGCACACGACACGATTTGGTTATTCTCGTATTCTTGTAGCTTGAAACTACAAGAATCACTACTGAATAAGAAAGAGGGAAATTGTAAAAACATGTGCATGTGATCCTCGTAAGTAGATCCACTGGCGGGTCAAATGACGTCATGTTTAAGTAAACCGCTATCATTCTTCCAAGATCGGCGCGAAATATAAAATTTCTTAGTCCGAATGACAAGCTCTCCTCCCCCATATACTAAATTAACGAATCCAGGATGGGCTCAGCGGTAAGATAACGGAGAGAAGACGTGTGTCTCCTGGTTGAAGGTGGCATTTGTGTAGTTTAACCAGTCCGTTGTGGCACAACCAGCTACCTTATTTTTATTTCTTGCCGACCATGTCTGAAGACTACACTGTTACCGAAGTTCGAAAGACGAAGAAAACAAAAAAGAAGACAAAAATTAGCTATGAAGTGGACACGGACGAGAGGACTTCTGATGGACTGCAATTTCAGGATGAATCTAGAAATGAGGTAGAAATTAATTACCTATCTAGGATACATGGTTTTTTTTTCGTTTTCCACTTGTAAATGTTTTGAAGGCAGCGTGAGCGTACAGAGTTGGGCCAAAATTTTAATGTTTTGGTGCAGTTTTATACACATATATATGTATTTATCACTCTAGGCGCATGCTATATGTCTCTCTGAGATTTTTTCCTCTAAATAATTATCATTCATCTGATAAATATTTAATATCAGACTTTTTATTGTGAAGTGTCAATTTAGCTAAGTTAGCATCAATACTCTTTAAGTTCAGGTTAAAGACGCTTTATTAATATTCGATTTACAACATTAAATGCTTGTAGTTTGAACAAGGAGAAAAATAATTTTAACATCTTGAGTGCTGTAGCAACTGTTATATTTCAGTTAATTTCCGTACAATTGTTCCGGTAATTTTTTTTTTTTGACAAACTTATATTAATCCAATTCCCTGATGTTCTAAGTAGAAAAGACGTCAGAATTTCCGTTAGCCCACTGTTTACTCTCCGGTGAGAACGAGGACTCATATCGTTAAAATGTGAGGTTCGACACCTGTGGTTGATACGACGTAGATAGCCTAATGTGCAGCTTTAGGTTTAAACAAACAAATAACCTACCAATTTTCGGCAGCCAAAAAAATCTGTGATATTTCTTTTAGGCTTTAGCTGTCATTAGTTCGTTGACAAGAGTTGTTACTATTTCTGTCAATTTTATTTAGGATGTTGGCCAAACAAACGTCAGACAGATGAAATATTAAGTAAAGCACGTGCTTTATCTACAGTTATTAACACAGTTTTTCTGTGAGCATGTATACTTTGATAAAAACTACGAATATTGATCGAAAATAATGAGCCAGTCTTTGATGTCAACTTATGAGTATATCGCGTTTGTGTTTGTCTTTGAAATGTAATGGCATTGCTATAAAATAATGATAATCTAACCCCCGTAAAGTAGGCTTCGTCGCCCGAAACGTTACTGAAAAAAAAAACAGACAAAAGGGGAACGGGTTTACAGGATGCCAGTGTGACTCTTTAAAAGTTTACTTTTCTTATTGAATAATTTAAATGAAATAATCTAAATTTTTAGAGTGGAGTGGAAATAAATACATAAATAAAAATTTAAATTATTTTACTTGAAAATTAGAAGATCATATATTTTTACGACAAATTAATATATATATATATATATTATAAGATATAACAATGAACTGGGCCTTACTACTTTAGAACAATGGGATTTTAAAGCATATAAATATGAAAGTGATTTTTTGCACCTTTGTTTCTAGAATGTTAACGTAGGCTGACGATGTATCCTCAGACGCGTTTTCCATATATTGAAAATTGTCAAGAATGAGGGCGGTTACTTATGACATGCTGCTATGTGTGTTTTTTGTTTTTCCTTTAGCGCAGTGAATGGAATCCCATATTTGTAGTGCTGCAACTTCGTAAACTTGCCGCGGTTTTTCTTGGGTTTCATTAGTAGTTGATTTGAATTTGTGTTATGGAAGCCTTTAAAAGCCACGTTCATCACGCAATAATATCAATTCAAGAAATTATTTCCGTAAAAATGATCATTCTGTTGCAATTAGGCCTAGCATTCGAAAGTTCCAAACACAATCAAATTAAAGGTATTGAAAATATCCTTTACATTAGACATTGTTGAATCACGTGACCTTCAACAATACCTATTTAAAGATTATCAATATTTGTTATTGTTGTAACTTTGACCACCGTTAATTCAATGATGTTTATCTTTGGTGTAAGCTCGAACCCTTATCTACTATTAACTGTAAAACTAATGTCATTACCTGAATTTTTCCTGCCCAACTAATACTACAAAACTAAAAATTTTCGTCCTCACCTACTACCACCAAAATAAATTTTCTTTCTCATTTAGTACCATCATAATCAACCTGGTCCTCCTTACCTTAAAACCACCGAAATTAAACTTTCCTCCTTAATTAGTACCAATAAAATATAGTTTTACATCTTCACTTAGTACCATCAAAATCAACCTGTTCCTCCTTACCTTAAAACTATCAAAATTAAACTTACCCCTTAATTAGTATCACTAAAATTTAATTTTTCATCCTCACTTAATACCATCAAAATGAAAATTTCTTCTTAATTTAATACCAGTAGAATTAAGCTTCCCTCCTCATCCAATACCACCAAACTTTTCGCCTCATTTATTACCACCAAAATCAAACTTTTCCTCCTCACCTAGTACTATAAAAATCAAACTCTCCTCATTTAGTACCATTATAATTAAACTTTCCTTCTCACTTAGTATCACTAAATTATAATTTCCTCCTAATTTAGTAGCACCAAAATGAGCCCGTCCCTCCCAACCTTAAAACCACCAAAAATACATTTTCCTCATTACCTAAAAACCACCAAAATTAAACTGCTCTCCTAACTTAGAATCAATAAAATATCAATTTCCTCCTAATTTAATGAAACTTTCCCTCCTCACCTAACACTACCAAAATTAAACTTTCCTCCTCATTTAGTACCACCAAAATGAAATTTTCCCTTCTCACGTAACACTATCAAAATTAATCTTTCCTCTTCATTTAGTACCACCAAAATGAAACTTTCTCTCCTCACCTAAAACTATCAAAATTAAATTTTCCTCCTCATTTAGTACCACCAAAATTATACTTTCTTCCTCAATTAATACCACCAAAATTAAACACACGTTTTTGTTTAGTACCACCAAAATCAAACTTTTCCTTCCTCTCCTTACATTTCGAAAATTGAATTTTCCCTTCTCATCTGGTACCAACAAAATAAAATTATCTTTCTCTTTCAGTACCTCCAAAATTAAGTTTCCCTCCTCACCTAGTATCACATGAATAAAACGTTTTATTCGTGTATTACCATCAAAATCAAACTTTCCCTCCTTACTTAACACTACTAAAATTAAACTTTCCCTCCTCATTTAGTACCACCAAAATGAAACTTTTGATCCTCAGTTAGTACCATTAAAATCAAACATACCTTCTCATTTAGTGTCATCATAATCAAACTTTCCCTCCTCCCCCAACATTTCCAAAATTAGACTTTCCTTTCTCACCAATACCACCAAAATAAAAATTTTCTTCCTCACTTAGTACCACCAAAATTAAACTTCCCCTCTTCACCTGGTACTCTTCCCCAAAACTTTTCTTCCTCATGTATTACCACGAAAATCAAACTTTCCTTCCTCACCCAGTACCAAAATAAAACCCTCTTTCTCATTTACTACCAACAAAAAATTAACTGATCCCTCCTTACCTAATATCACCTAACCCAAAATAATCTGTTTTTTAATAGATAAATAGATAAATATTCAAAACATTCATAACACGGAAGAAATAAACAGAAAAAGTTAAAATAACATACTTTGAAGACCTAAAACCATCTAGACTCTGTAAAGTATATTTATCAATACAAGTTCGAACATTTTGGATACTGTTGTACAATACTGTCCTATGACCGGTCATATTATGTTAATACTCTTTTACTACTTCTTCATAGATTGTTTATGCGGACGATTTCACAAAATCTGCGCCTAAGGAACTCACAGCTGGTCATTTCTGCTGCTGGCAGTGCGACGATTCCTTGACTGGTCAACGCTACGTTCTGAGAGATGACCACCCCTACTGTGTGCGCTGCTACGAACAAGTCTTTGCTAACTCTTGTGAGGACTGCAGCAAGATTATTGGTATAGACTCTAAGGTAAAAAACAACTATGTCAAAAGCTACAAGTGCAGGAAATTGTAGAATTTAAAATATGTTTACTTTTATGAACAGGACAATATAGAGCGAAGTGTTTGTGTGTCCAATAACATCACATTTTAAAGACTAGATATGTTTACTTTTTTGAACAGGACAATATAGAGCGAAGTGTTTGTGTGTCCAATAACATCACATTTTAAAGACAAGATATGTTTACTTTTTTGAACAGGACAATATAGAGCGAAGTGTTTGTGTGTCCAATAACATCACATTTTAAAGACTAGAATTTTGTTCATTTTGAAAGATCACTAACTTTGGTTACACAATTGAGGATTTACTATGAAACTTTGTTATTTTTATCTATTTTATTTATTTTAACACAGTTAATTCCTTCTATATTTGTTCATAATGTGAAAAGAATTACAGCTTCACTAATAGTATTTAATGTAGAACACAATAGTCTATCGAATGGCAAAAAAGTCTTTATATCGAAATAATTGGACATACAGACTTCTAAAATAACTGATAACGTTAGGTTTTCCAGAGCAGCTGAGAATAACGAACTTATGGAGTACCAATAGCTTTTCATTGCTTAGCAGCTGAGTATAATGCGCATAAAAAATACCAATAGATCTTTACTGCAAAGCAAGTAAATATAATCGGCCCTTAGAGTACAAATAGCTTTTCAACTAAAATCAATTCTGTATAATGGACTTATGAATTACATTAGTTTGTACTATGAGACAACTAGGTATAATTAGCTTATTTCTACTGTAAAGCGGTTGATAATATTAGGCTTATGAAGTATCCGAGTTTTCATTGTAAAGCTGTTCAGCATAATGTGCTTATGAAGTACTCACAGTTCCTGCTGTAAAACGGCTGAACACCGGCTTAAATCAGCTCATTAAGTACAAAATTTTCACTACAGAACAACTGAATAAAGTATGCTTATGAAGCACCGATTACAATGGTTTTTCGAGTACCAGTAGTTTTTTTTGGGGGGGGGTAGTTTTTTTTGGGGGGGTAGTTTTTCCTGGAGTACAATGGCTTGCGGCTTGAATATTTGTTTTAAATGTAAATCGGAAAATAGTTTAACCTTACACAATATTTTATTGGCAAAGATGACCACTAAAACAAACAAACAAACAAACAAAAAACGATATATATTTTATTTCCTCGGAAATGATAGAATTTGAAGAAAATAAAAAGTAGGTAAACTTGTCAACCATGTACTTATAAGTTTATTGCTACTTTCGATTCTCTTCTTTCAGAGTTGTAAGTGTGCAAAGTGATGTAGTTATTTCAACTGCATCTCATCAAGAAAAAGCTATGACCAAAATTGTCCTTTGAGATTTATGTTTTAAACTAATAAAATTATGATACCAGCTGAACACAAGTTATACTGTGAGACGTGTTAGTACTTCATAATTATAATACTTATAATAACCCATTTTGAAAATAATAGTTTAACTGATTAAAACAGTCTTTCTGTAGTAAACTAAACCGGTTTAAATTCTTTTTTTGCTATAAATTTAACTCTATCCGCGTCTTGTTTGTTCTTATTCTAAACTGGCAGCACCTAGCCTTGTTTTTGGACAGGTTTGAGATAGGTCTCAAAAGGATGCATTTAACAGTCTCTATATTTATAAGTGTCATAAGATACAGCCCCCTCTCCCCCTGGTGTAAAGTGACAGAAACAAAACGGTCTAACGCGAAGTCGACTCCTAAAGCGTGCTAAAACGTGCGTTCTGCTTCAAGCACGCGCAAAGGTGGAGCTCCTAAATTTGGGGTCGTAAAGTAACGTATACGCTAAAAATACTAGACTGAAAGCTCCTTATAATAGAACAGCATAGATTTTCTAACCCTTTTACGTGTTTATTTGTGGAGGTAAGAACGTCGTCCTTTACTCCGGATTTCTCTAGCACATCGAAATTATTGTTTTAAAAAATTAAACTTTTTTACTAAAGACAGACAATGCACGCGCCACGTGAATGCAGCGATATATAAAATCGAAAAAGTAACGTGATATCTAAGTTCTGCTTTCGGTAGTGTATGTTTACAACAAATCAATGTGATACAGATTCTGGCCTGTTTATCTTTTGTTTTCCTTGGCACAGAAGCCGACAGCTTCTATTCACCATAAATAGAATTACAATGATAACAATGCATATATACAAGGCCACTTCGAGCATGAAACATTATCTACGGGATGGCTGTGTTTTTATTTAAAGCTAAATTATGAATACAGTTTCTTAATTTATCTAAAATAAAATATCGGATTACAGTCTTGCCAAATCCTGTTAAAGTGTGGGCGGTAAGTTTCTGACAAACAGTGTTCTTAATGTAGCTACGTGTCCTGTCAAGCTCTTTCACTCTGATAGCAGTGTTCCTAAAGTAAAGAACAGTTCTGTCAAGCTCTTTCACTCTGATAGCAGTGTTCCTAAAGTAAAGAACAGTCCTGTCAAACACTTTCATTCTGATAGCAGTGTTCATACAGTAACTGATAGTCCTGTCAAGCACTTTCACTCTGATAGCAGTGTTCCTAAAGTAAAGTACAGTCCCTCTTTGTCAAGCACTTTCATTGTAATAGCAATGTTCCTACACTTGATATGTGTCCTATCAAGCACTTCTCTCTGATAGCAGTGTTCCTACAGTAACTGATAGTCCTGTCAAACACTAGTCCTGATAGTAGTGATCAAGCACTTTCGTTCTGATAGGAATGTTCCTTCAGCAACTAATATTACTATCAAACGTTTTCATTCTGATAGTAGTGCTTTTATAGTATAGTTACTTGTCATGTCAAGCACTTTCATTCTGATAAGTGTTCTTGTTGTAGCTCTGTCAAACACTAATGTCAGTGTTCCCATTGTTTTTCTGGTTACAGTCCTTCCTGCACTAACTTGTAGTCCTATCAGTGACTTCTGATGCGTTAGCAATCTTTCATATTGTACATGAAAACATACTAGCCTTTTATTTACCAGAGGAGAGGATGGAGAATCTTTCTTTGAAATATTCCTCATGCCGTATTCCATGGGTTAATGTGGATAAAACGTTAGAAGTATACGAAATGTGTTGAACTTGAATCTGGACAGGTTGACCTTTGAACTCATTTGCATCGTTTTCAACCTTACTTTTGTCATTATTATTTTCATACAGAGTAAGATGACAATATTTTTTTTCTATATATTATTTTCTATTTTTAGCATTATCCTTCCACATTATTGGACATTTTGTTTTAAGACAAACAGTCCACTCACTAAAGTCAACAGTATCTCAAAAGTCCTTTTTATAAGCGCCATTACAGCATTCTCTGTCAACAGTGTGTCAGGTTTCAGCCCGTCACATAACACTAAAGTTTATTTGCAAGTTCAGCACAAGAAGACACGTGCCATCGGTATATCCGACAAACTTTTAAGCGTTTTATCCCAAAATACTCGCTTCGTGTTTTTATGTGTATCGTTCCATACCAGTCGAAGGAGTAGAAGCAGGGTTGTTCAGTTTTTGTCTAAAAATAGCTCTGCCTGTTCGTAGTAAGTTATTACTTGAGGACGAATATTTTGAAGTATTAACTTAGCTGAATTTTTAGTTAAAGCTAAAGTATCTGATGTCTCGACTTGAAATGACTCTCTAAAAACTTTTTGTTTCAATTTCTAACTCACTATAGTGGTTAATACACATGAATAAACGTTATACAACTCTCTATAAAATGTTCATGTTCGAAGGAAAAACATGCGTACAAAATACACCTTCCCTGAAGTAACATAATAAAACACCATTCCTGAATCTACATAATAGAACACCATTCCTGAATCTACATGATAAAACACCATTCCTGAATCTACATGATAAAGCACCATTCCTGAATCTACATAATAAAACACCATTCCTGAACCTACATAATAAAACACCATTCCTGGATCTACATAATAAAACACCCTTCCTGAATCTACATAATAATACACCTTCCTCGAAGTAACATAATAAAAACACCATTCCTGAATCTACATAATAAAACACCATTCCTGAATCTACATAATAAAGCACCATTCCTGAATCTACATGATAAAGCACCATTCCTGAATCTACATAATAAAACACCATTCCTGAATCTACATGATAAAACACCATTCCTGAATCTACATGATAAAACACCATTCCTGAATCTACATGATAAAACACCATTCCTGAATCTACATAATAAAACACCATTCCTGAATCTACATGATAAAGCACCATTCCTGAATCTACATGATAAAACACCATTCCTGAATCTACATAATAAAACACCATTCCTGAATCTACATGATAAAACACCATTCCTGAATCTACATAATAAAACACCATTCCTGA